GGAGGTCACGGGGACACAAAGGATGGGGAGATGCAGGATGTGAAACGCAGGGCCGGGGTGTGGGACACGAAGGACATGGGGGACACGGAAAAAGGGGAACGGGAGGGTGGCCAGGACACAAACTCCAGGGATGGGAAGGATGGAGGGCACGGGGGAGGGGGGAACACAGAGGCTACAAAAGGTGGGGGATGTGTGGGACATGTGGGACACAAAACAGGGCCAGGAAGGATGTGGGGCACAAAGGACACATGGGACACAGAGGTCACAAGGGATGGGGAACACAGGGGATATGTGGGACATGGAGATGGGGACACAAAGGATGGGGGAGACACAAAGGACAACGGATTTAAAGGACAATGGAGTTGAAGCACATGGGATGTGAGCCCAGGCACAAAGGACAGGAGATGCAAAGGACACGGGGACATGAAGGAGAGAGTGCTGCCAAAGGTGGGGGACACAAAGGATGGGGGATATGAAGGGCCTGGGGACACATGGCAGCGAGCACAAGCTGGGGGGGAACACAGGGAACCCACTGCCCTGGGCAGTTGCTGAGGAAGATGGGGGGGAAAAAAAAGCCTCTTTTCAGCTTAAAGAATTTTTTTTTAGAGTTTAATAACAGAAAAATTATTCCCATGGAGGGGCTGGGAGCGCCACTGCTCACTCGCTCCCCCTTCCAAATCATGACTGAGCCCACAGATCACTCAGCTGCAGGAAGCAAGTAATGCTCATTAAAAAATAAAACCCCAGAGTAAGTGGCTGCCCTGAGAGGGCACTTTCCATCTGCAGCACCCAGGCATCTTGTCCAGGGTCACAACCATTGCCTGCTGGGTTTGCAGTGAGGTTTCCCAGGAACGGGAGAACCTGTGGTCATGCTGCTCAGGACCCCCAGGTACATGGCAGTGGGCGTCCCGCCTCCCTCGAGCAGGTTGCTTCAGCTGGATGGTCTTCGGGAGTCCCAGCGAAGAGCAGGGTGAGGACTGGGGAAGGCCCATCTCACACCCCTCTTCTCCCCACCCTGCTGCAGCTCCTGATCGCTCGCCGGAGGAGAACCAGCTGCTACTTCTACCCTCGGGCCTGGCCCAGCCTCAGGGGCGCGGACTGGTGGGAGCGAGTGGTCCTGAAGGAGTTTGGGCCCCAGGACTGGCTGGAGAAATTCCGCATGTCCAAGGAGACCTTCTTCTACGTCTGCAACCAGCTGCGTCCCGGGCTGGCTCCGCAGAGCGCCCACTTCCACCCCACCCTGCCCTTGGAGAAGAGGGTGGCCGTGGCCCTGTGGCACTTGGCCACTAACGTGGAGTACCAGACTCTGGGCCCGCTGTTCGGCGTGGGGCCCTCCACGGTGCAGACGTGCGTGCGGGAGGTGAGCTACGCCGTGGTCTTGCTGCTGAAGCCCCTCTACCTCCGGCTGCCCAACGAGAAAGAGCTGGAGAACATGGTGCGGATCTTCCGCACCCGCTGGGGGTTCCCGCACTGCATGGGGGCCCTGGACAGCCTCCACATCCCCATCCACCCGCCCCTGCGTCTCAGCGCCGACTACTGCAACGGCCAGGGCTGGCACTCCATCCTCACCCAGGCCACCGTGGATGGGCTGGGCCAGTTTTGGGACGTCTCCACCGCCTTCCCCGGCAGCATGGAGAACAGCGCGGTGCTGGAGAGCTCCAGCCTGTGGGTGCTGGCCAAGGAGGGGCGGCTGTGCCCCAACCCTCCCAAGCCCTTCATGGGGAAGGCGCAGAAGTACGTGCTGCTGGGGGATGCCACCTACCCCTTGCAAGACTGGATCCTCAAGCCCTACCAGGAGGACGAGAACCTGTCCCAGAGGCAGCTGCAGGTCAACCTGCAGTTCAACTACCGCCTGAGGCGGGCGCACAGCGTGATCGAGAACGCCTTCCTGCGCCTCAAGGCGCGCTGGCAGATCCTGCTCAAGTGCGACGACTGCAGCCTGGAGCTGCTGCCCACCCTTGTCCTCGCCTGCTGCATCCTCCACAACGTGTGCGAAGCCCACGACAACCCTTTCAACGAGGAGTGGCTGGAGGGCACGGAGCCCACCGAGCTGCCCAAGCCCTGCCAGCCCGCGCCCGCCGCCATGGAGGACGGTCAGGCCGAGCAAGTGCGCGAGCTGATGTGCCAGTACTTCGAGAGCTGCGGGGAGGGCTGAGGAAGAGGAGGGGAGCAGCAGCCCCCCGCGTCCTTGCTCACGAACTTCCTGCGGGCCACAGCGAACACCGGCCCAGCAGCAGCAGGGACTGCACCCTGGCCTCTCCTGAAGGCTGCGGGCAGAGCGAGGAAGGGGCGGGGAGGGGGGAGGCTGCGTCGCGCTGGTTTTGCTGTGGTGGGTTCGAGGGGTTGGGATGTATTTTGGACCCCTGCTCTCTTCC